GTATGCAGACGCGTTCTCTGTGTTTCCCTCTTGGGTGTGATTATAGCTGCAGTAGGTAACTAACATTTCCCAGCTCACTGCCAAAACAGTTTGGCTACATCTGCACTACAGGGGGGGGTCGATTTAAGATACGCAAATTCAGCTACGCGAATAGCGTAGCTGAATTCGGCGTATTGCAGCCGACTTACCCCGCTGTAGGGACGGCGGCAAAATCGACCTCTGCGGCTTCCCGTCGACGGCACTTACTCCCACCTCCGCTGGTGGAGTAAGAGCGTCGATTTTGGGATCGATTGTTGCGTCCCAACGGGACGCGATAAATCGATCCCTGAGAGGTCGATTTCTACCCGCCGATTCAGGCGGGTAGTGTAGACCTAGCCTTTTTTGATGCTTGACCTACTGTGAAGATCCGGAAACATACTCAGTTTAAGAGGCTTCACGCAGCTCATGAGACACTGAGCCATAGAAGAGGACTGGCTCCAAATGCTCTTGTACCTTCTCATGTTTTATTTATCAGTAAATCAAAAAAGTTCAAAATATTGCCAGACACAGGCCTCTTTTTGACAGCTCCTGCCCAAGTTCTCTGACAGAAAGAAACTGTAGGACACTAAAAAATATAGATAAAGAAAAACAAATATAGATAAAGAAAGCTGTCACTATGCTAGCCCACTCACCATTGGCCAGTCTTGCATGCAAAATCTTCTGTGTCAAAATCTTCTGCACTGTTTACCGTTCAAGAATGGAACTTTGCTCAGACTTAGGTGTGGGCAAAGCAACATGTTCCCTTGGCAAAATGATTGAATTTCTTTCAAGTTAAACAAAGGATTTTTTTAAAATCCCAGTGACTTTTTTGCCTAAAAAATGTATGTGACTATTCGTGCTTTTTAATTTTTTTCATTTGGTATTTGGTAAATTAAAAAAAATAAATGTGCAAAAAAAACCTGCCGCTTTTAAAGGCTAACAGAAATCTAAGCAATCTACTAACTGTGCTGCCAGGATGAGGGTAGGGAACTGTGAGGCGCACAGCCTGTTGTCTGTGTATCAGGCTGGGAACCTGGTTTTGGTTCACCGTTTCATTTAAATCCCTAGCCTACACTATTTGGCCTACCTCTGACCTTTCCATATATCCACATGCCCTGCACTGTAGAAGGATGGGAGGGGTGCAGCCATGACTCCCCAGATGGCTCACCAATCTGTTCATCTTCCACATGTTTTTCCACAGAAAGGGAAGAAGGAATCCTTAGGGATCAATGACTTGCAGTAAGGAGTTGATAACCAGGAGTATAGCAGAAGGCCCTTAGCCACTCAGCACATTGTTAATTCTCAGGAAGTGTTCTCCCCCAAGGTCATCATGCTGGTCTATAATTAACAGGGCCGGCTCCAGGCACCAGCTTAACAAGCAGGTGCTTGGGGCGGCCAAAGGAGAGGGGCGGCACCTGCGGCACGGCAGGTCCCTCACTCCCTGTAGGAGCGAAGGACCTGCCGCTGAACTGCCGCTGCCGATAGTCGGGTTTTTTTTTTTTTTTTTTGCTTGGGGCGGCAGAAATGCTTGAGCCGGCCCTGATAATTAAGAACAATATATGTGTATTTGTTTCTTTTATAGCACCCACGAGATGTGCCAGGTGCTTCACAGAAGAGCTTAGAATCTAAGGCCATGTCTACACTAGCACTTATGTTGGCAAAACTTTTGTCACTCAGGGGTGTGAAAAAACCACCCTCCTGAGTGGCATACATTTTGTCAGCATAAGCTCTAATCTGCACAGCGCTATGTCAGCAGGAGAGCGTCTCCCGCCAACATAGCTACTGCCGCTCACTGAGCTGGTTTTATTATGTCAATGGGAGAGCTCAGCTGTATCAGTACAGCGGTTCCACTGTATGCTTGTAAGTGTAGACATGGCTTAAGTTTTACACATGACACAACAATTGAGGGCAAAGTATAAAGAGGAGTGGGCAAGGAAGGATGGAAGTTACAGCAAAGTAATCCCGTGGAAACACCTTTCATGCATCTACACATCTTGCTGTTTCTGTATATTCTTTTTAGTAAAAAAATAAGGAATAGGAAGATTTTAAGAGAGCAAATAATATTGAGTCACTCATTAGCTATAGATGGAAACGTGCTGTCATGACTGACTGAAAATTGTTAGGTGAGGAGTCATCACGTTATCTAATTTGCTTCCGCGAGGTAAGTGGCTGCACTGAGTTAAATGAAACTATTATTCTCCTCTCAGGAGGTGAGGAGTAGTGGGGTTTAATTTACTCTCTGCTTTAGAATGTTAGCTTAAAAGAAAAGAAAAATTCCGGAAATGTATGTAGCAAGCTGGAATTCCAGCCCTGCTGCTCTAATGATTGGAACAATGAGGGCCCAATCCTGTCCCCAGTGACATCAGTGGGAACAGCCTTGAGATTATGTAAACATATGTGTGTCTGTGTGCACACATGTATTCCCACACACATTCACATGTGTATAGACTTCATATTTGGGTGAACAGCAAGATGAGATGTATTGTTCCTTAAGTAAAACAATGGCCTCAGCGTGGTACATTGGATCTATAAATCTTGCCATTCAACTTGACATCCTCAAGAATTCAGTATCTCCTTATTAAAAGATGAATAACGGAACAAATAATTTAAAAAATTCTGAGGGTATTTGCTCCTCTTCTGTTCTATTATCTGCACAACTGTGTATGTGACAGGAAATGTCCATAGGCATTAACATCACTCTCCAGGTACTGGGCATTTCTGGATACCTGGTATATGATCACATCACATTTCAGGTGGCTTTCCACTCAGCCTGTAATGATCCTTTAATTATTGGCCCTATTCCTTTGTGTTTCAAAGGGCAAGGCTTTTTGTTGCCAGCTGCACTTCACACTAAAAAACCTGGGGGGGGGGTGGAAATATATATATAAAATTTGTAATGCAGGATCTCTCTCATAATAGATTATATAGCTTCCCCTGGCATCTCATGCTTCAGACAGAAGACTTGCTTCCATGCTGGAAGCTAGCCAGATTTCTAAATTGAAATATTCTCTGTATAATAAATTTTACATAAGAGAATAAAAGATAGACATATGAGGCTTCAGTAAAAGGACATTTGAGCTGTATATCTCTGCAAATAACAAGAAATATTTCCTCTTGAGGTAATTCCTATACTTTAAAAAAATCATCCCAAATCAGCTAGGTGAGCACATTTCAAAGAACAGTTAATAATTTAGCAGCATGTGGTTAAATGATTAAATGAGAGCATGGCCAATAAAATATCACTAACATCCAGGAGAGCCTTCAGCATGCACACATGCAGTGGACATTACACAGGTTGGGCCAAATTTCCTGGTGGTGTAACTTCATTGAAGTCAGTGGAGTTCTGCCAGCAGAGAATTAGCTCCATAATCTTTAACGTTTGTTAAACTGGTGAAAAATTCCTGTAATTCTGAAGCAACACAACTGTGTAATGTATTAGGGATATTATGTGCATGGATGATACATGCTTGTGGTTTTTCCGCTCCCATTCCGATACAGTAGATGATTTAATTTGAATTTGTAATGTAGCTTGTTATTTGAGTAAAGGTCAAATGTGTTTGTAGTATGCAGTGTAGTTGCAGTGGTGTCAGTCCCAGGATGTTAAAGAGACAAGGTGGGTGAGGTAATATCTTTTATTGGACCAACTTCTGTTGATGAGAGAGACCAGCTTTTGAGCTACACAGAGCTCCTTCTGCCTTTCCTATACCTGAAGAAGAGCTCTGTGTGGATTAAAAGCTGGTCTCTCTCACCAAGAGAAGTTGGTCCAATAAAAGATATTACCTCACCCACCTTGTCTTTTAAATGTGTTTGTAGCAATTCATGTAGACTTTAGGCACACTCCTTTAACTTAAGATCTGCACGCAAGCCACCTTAAAGGGACAGTAAACCTTAAGGTATTTTTTCAAAGCTGGGTGATACAGTCTTTCCTTTTATCAGAAAAGGTGCTTTTCTTTTTGAAACATGCACCTTTTTTATAACAGATCCTAAGATGTTCAGAAAGAAAATGAAAAGAATCTCTTTATGCATGAATAAGAAGCCTACATCTTAAAAAGACTGAAGATTTTGGCATGCTAGCTATTTTAATAATGTTATCATTTCCCTACAGGCCATACCTAAATAACATTTTATTCCTCTCTGTTTAAAATAATGAAAATAAAATTATAGCCTTTCTGTGAAATTCTGTGTCTTTTTTGTCAGTATCTGTGCTCATTTTTCAAGCACATGCTTCATATTTCTGCAAATGCTCAAGTCCAAACATGCGGTAATCTCTCACTCCACTTAGGCTTTCTACTTAATAGATAAGACACTCCACTGTTACTTTTTTAAATGTAGAAAAAAACTGATTTCCTTATATCTGCAAGGAGCATGGGATGTAATTATTTCTTAGGTGGCAAATATAGGAAAGCCAAATGAACACATACAGGGGTTTTGAAAGGTCTGTATCAAATGGAAACCTTGGCAACCTTAGATTAAATATGAGAATGTGATTGAAAAGGATTTGTTGATTAAAGCAGATTTTTCTTTTCATGTTCTCATTCAAATTTCTGTATAAGATCAGAAGAATTGATTGTAACAAACCCTTGCTGATTAAGGACTCGATTCTGCAAGGTGCTAAGCCTTCTGGCTCTGATCTTACATACCAGAGGCACTGCTTACTAATATCGGTGGCTCCATGCACAGTAGTCAAGCAAAAATGCTTACAGTAGTAAGCACTAAGGAGGCCGGTAGTAAGTGCTATCAGAATCAGGCCCTAAAAGCAGCCTAGACTTAACATAATAGAAATTCAGTGTTGGGAATCCTTTACCTGTGAATAACCGGTTGCATTTGGGAAAAATATACGTGTAACAGAGCCATTATTCCTCTGAGTAATGAGGAGAATATGCCTTTATAGGTTATATTGTAAACATGAGTTCAGTCTATGCTCCAGAACTTATATACATTTTTTATGAAGTTATAATTAGTGCAATTTTGGCCTCCTGCAGGTTCAAACTTTGGCAGTGAAGAGCAAACCCCTCCTAAGGCATCTGTGCCTTCTAAAGATTTACCCAAGGGGACCAGTAGGACTGCACTGCAGGTATCAACCAGCACAGCAACTCCCCGCAGGAGTTTACTTCCAGCACCGAAAACTACCATAACACCTGCTGGTAAGTTTTTCAAGCTTGTGTATTCAAGTCACCGTCTGCATTACCCAAGTTATGTTTAAATAATATTAATATACTTTATTTTTTACGTGGTTACCTTTCACATGGCTCTGAGACATGTCACCAAAACTGATCTGATTTTGATTCCATTTGCCGCTAAGGTGCCATGGTCTATTTGAACCACAGTCAGTGACACATGGGTAGTCTCGTTTTGCAAACTTAAGAATGTCTGGAGTTGAAGGCTTTCAGTGCTGCTGGCTGCACATGCCACAGATTCGCTGTGTACAGTATTCATGTTCATTAAATTATCCACAAAATGGCCTTTTGAAAACACGAAACTTCTCTAGAGACTGAATGCTTCCTTTGAGAAGAGAATTCATTGTGAAGTATATTTCCAAGGACAAGAACATGGCATTCCAGAACCAAGGAACTCACGACATTTTCACTTGAGGGAGGGAAAGAAAAGAAGAAAGCAACCAGGGTAAAAAGTCCTGGGAATTCTGGTTCCAAATCCTTCCAGTAACTAAACCCTCCTTCAAATCCATCAAGACTGATTTCTTCAAATAGTTCTACAACAATTATTCCCTAATAGTACTGGCCTTAACCCAGAAGAATTTAATGAGTGAAGAGGGAATGAGCAGAAGTGAATGTTCTTAAAATATATCAGAGGGGTAGCCGTGTTAGTCTGAATCTGTAAAAAGCAACAGAGGGTCCTGTGGCACCTTTAAGACTAACAGTTAGTCTTAAAGGTGCCACGGGACCCTCTGTTGCTTTCTTAAAATATAATTTCTTTAAATATAAATGTGAATTAAATGTTTGATCAAGTATCAAAACACTCAAAGCAGGTATTAGCCACTTTTTTAGAAATAAAAAAGAAAAGGCATCATCTTCTTTATCGAAGTGTTTGCTCTATTATATGCCATCAGCTTTCCAATGAAATAATCCATGTATTACTGTAATACTGATGGCTCTTCTTTTTTTAACTCAAAAGCATCGATATTTTTGCATAATAAATTGAAATTTTTTTTTTCCATGGTTCATACAGTGACTTCACTGGGACTCCTTGCATAGAAAGGAACTGCTCAGTGGGTGTATGGGTGAAGAATCCGACCCTACATGATTAACTTTTAAGATTATGATGCCGTTACTTATGCTGAATAGTACCTTACTTCATGAGTAACCCCCTAAAGTCAGTGGGATTACTAAACAGAGTAAAGGTATCAAAATCTGGCTTTAAATGATTCACATTTCTAGGTAAATAAACTGAGGGGGCAGGTAAGTATATACTCACTAGTCACATTTTCTTGTTGTTTCACTCACAGGTAGATTTTTCTTTTTCTTTAGTCTTTGTTCATTTAAATGTTTCACATTAAGATGCAGCTGGAACAGAGCTCTTCTTGAGATGAACCTATTTCTCATCTTTCTGAAAGTACCTCAACATAGAGACTAGCCCTGAAATCCCTTACTCACAGGAGTAATCTTTGCTCATGGGACAATAATACCAATGAAGCAGCATGTCAGAATGAGAATTTGCAGGCTCTGGGTCATATTTTGTAATTTTGAGGATGTATTTGATCCAAACCATTATAAGGGTGTAGCTGAGTCAAAATCACCTCAAATCTATGGCAATGAACAAATGTATATGGACAGACCGGGCCTGGAGTTTTCAGCATCTTTATCTCGAAAGGTTTCCTTAGGGGTGAAAGCAAACTTAATGTTCCAGCCAGTTAAACGTTCTTAGGATGGTGTATTTTGCTGGTGTAATGCGGCTAATGTGAGCTAACTCCACTTGAAGTGTACTGGATTTATCCTACAGGGAACTGGACAAGAAAAGCCTTTCTCCAAAGCCAAGCAGTTTTTCAGAGCAGCTTGCTATTGCTCACACCAAATCAGAAATTGGAGGCGGGAGATTCTCTAATGGCTCCCCTGCTCTCTCTTCTGCCTCTGCTTCCGGACAGATCATACTTCTGATTGCCCACTGCACTCTTGTCCCTTGAACTCCTTATTGGTTTCCCTGTTGCCTCCCAAGGAAAAGATGCCTCACTGACTTCCCACTGTTGGGCTCCCCCCTCTGCTAAGACTCTCCATTGATTTTCTGATGCCTCTGCTTCTTCCTTCCCTAAACCTTCTTCTATCTGTTAACACTGCCTGCTGCTATATTACAGGATGCCTTAAGCCTACCCACATCACAACCTCTTCATCCTCTCAGGTGTTGCTCCTCCTGATACGTGCTGGGTAGTTGCTTGTAGAGTCAAATGCACAAGGCAATGCACAGATCCAAGACATCTGCTCGGCTACATTACACTGATGCTGAGTTGACTGAAGTCACAACAAAGCTTTCTTGCCACCATTAAGTCCAAACCATTGTCACCCAAACAGACAAGGGTTCAGTTATGGCAAACAAGAGTAGAGAATGACCCTCTAGCCTATGTGCTCTGGCTCCCACCAGGTGAGCACCTACCACCCAGTGCAGATCAACCCTGGACTTCCCTTAATCAATAGCGCACTGGAGTTGGCCCGGTCTAGAGAAGTGATGATCAAGTGGGGCTATATCACTGGCCCTGGTACGTGTGGCTGCGGCAGAGAGCCTCAAAATACGAAGCATCTCCTGTGATGCCAGCTGCTTGAGTGTGATGCTCTTCCAGTGACCTGGCGAAGTGCAATGATTAGGCAATGGCATGCGCGTGGATGTGTCAGAAAGCAGTATGAGGACATGACAAGACGAATCCCTAAACCTGACTCCCTGTTATCTGTCTGCTTGGAATGAACATTGGCTCAGAAGGACAAAATGAGCATTACCCATTTGGTATTTTCCTTCAGGACATATGGCGTGGTTGGGCCATCTCTTTAATGACATGATCTTATATAAGAGGTAAATATTATAATCCATCATGGCCAAAATAGGAAATACTCTGTATGCATGTGAGAATGTCCATTTCGCCTTGACTAGTGATAACAGTTTAGGCCCAATAGCAGAGAATGTTACTTATATTAGAATCCCTGTCCTACAGATTTTAGCCCTGATTCAGCAAAGCACTTAAACATCTACTTATGTCTGATTGGAATCAATATGATTTAAGCACGTGCTTAAAGTTAAGCATGTGATTAAGTACTTTGACTATTCAAGGCATTTGAGATTATATGTGAAAAATGCAGTGGGAGCACCAGTTCACCAAAAATCTTTAGTTTCCATCAGAGAGACAAGTTGGGTGAGGTCGTATCTTTTATTGGAGAAAAGTTCTCTTTGTGAGAGAGAAGCTTTTGAGCTACACAGAACTCTGGGAAAGGTACTCAGGGTGTCACAGCTAGATACAAGGTGGAACAGGTTGTTTAGCATAAGTAGTTAATACATATTTCAAGGGGAAGTGGCCTGTTAACACCTCCCCAGTCATGAGGGGGGGGGGTGAAGAAGAAGAAACATGGGAGGGGGATTAGTGAGTTATAATTTGTTGTAATAAGCTTTAAATCCAGTGTCTCTATTCAATCCATGATTTTTAGTGTCTAGCACAGTTATGAATTTAAACTCCCAGGTTTGTCTTTTGAAAGTGTTGTGCAGGTTTCCTTTAAGGATGAGGCCCGAAAGGTCAGATATAGAGATTGCTTTGTGAAAAGTGTTCCCCCACAGGTGATACTGTGGTTTTGGCTTTTATCATTTTTCTGTGTGAGCTCATTCAAGAGCATAGTGATTGTCTGGTTTCACCCACGTAGTTGTTGGGCCATTTAGTGCACTGGATGAGGTATACCGCATATTGTGATAGGCATGTTGCGAGACCTGTGGCTCTTGAAAGATGTATTGTGGTGGTGTTGATCATCATAGCAATGGAGATATGTTTACAGGTTTTGCATCTGTTGTTCGGACGGGGTCTGGTGCTGCTTTGAGCTGGTATGTCCTGGTCTCTGGGGAGCTTGCTTCTGATGATGAGATGATGAACTGGGAGGGTTGTTTGAAGGCCAGAAAAGGGGGTTCAGAAAATAATTCTTTCAGGATGTGGTCCCCATCGAATATGGGTTGTTACTGTTTGATAATACCCTGTATGGGTGCCAGTGTGGGGTGGTAGGTGACAACTAGGGGTGTGTGGTCGGGAGGATTCATTCTGTACCGAAGTAGGTTCTCTTGGGATATTTGGGTGGCCTGATCCATGATGCAATCTACTTCTCTGGTGGCATGTCCAGGTCTGATGAAGGTGGTTTTAAGTGTGTTAAGGTGTATATCCCAGACTTTCTCCTTGGAGCATAGTTTTGTGATATCTGAATGCCTGGCTGTAGATAACAGATTTCTTAGTGTGTTTACTGGATTTGTGAAGTTAGGCCAATTGCCTTCATCAACAGTACATACCCAAATCAGTTGCCACCATTCCCCAGCTCAAAACCAATCCATTATCCACGTCCCTCATTGCTTTCTCTCCCAGACTTACTGTTGTTAATGTTGAGCAGCACGTCCATAGTGCAGTCACTTACACTGCGCCACGGACACAAGGTCTTAGACACAGATAACTGTGCCACTGAGTCAGTCTGTGTCAGATAGGATGATACCCTGTGTGGCCTGAAATATAAGGAGATTAGTAAAGATCTACTGTTCATGTGCAGGGAATGTGTGGCCCTGGAAAGCCCTTACACAGCCAGGCCTGTCACAGTCAGACCTGCCTGGCGGGCAGAGGAAGGACTGGGATAAGCAACTACACCCCTGGCGGCATGTTTTAATGTATGGAAATGTGAATGATCCTCATGTGGATCTCTTTGGCAGCACTTAATGGGGCCCATTTCAGGGGCAAAAGACAGACATGTCTGCAGCCCCTATGGAAATATTCTAGTGTAAGAACATCTGGAGATTTATCTTCTGGAAACTTCCAGTGCCCCCCTCCCCACGAGGATGATTTGTTGTTACTCTGGTATTTAATAGTCTATTATAGAAGAAAAATAACTCTCTTGGATCTTTGATTTGGTTTTACTGTGTGTATTACTGCTTTTCATACCTGAAGGACTAAAACTTTCTGTTGAATCTC